TTAAAACGCGGTGAAATGTATTACGCCCAAAATTATTTTAATTTTTTATATTTAATTACCTAAATTTTTCGAAACGAATTTCGAATATTTCGTGCATGTTAAAATTATCCAGACAGTCAGTGTATTCGGAAGCTGAATTGGAAAGATGGTCTGTAGATCAGTGTAAGCCTCGACAATTTTAGGTATTTTTATATGTATATACGAGATGGACAAACAGACAAGTGGAAGAAAAAGCTGGATAGTTTTTTTCACCAAGTTACGAGACTTCTTTTCCAATACTAACACAGCTTCAATTATTAGAGCAACATCTATCAATTTTTTTGTTTTTTTTTTTTTAAATATTTCTCTCCAATATGCCCATTTGTGCTTAATACTTCCTAATTCTCCAGCTGTTCATTCACACGAAAAAAATCTAGTGTTTCTAATTGCAGGCTTTAAATTTTAAAAGTTTTTTTAAAAATTCGCTTAGCTTTTTTCAAAAAGAAAGATCAAATTAATGCTATGAAAATTGTGTTCTACGTTATTAAAAAGCGCACTCTTCTGTGGTGGCAGAATTGGTTGAAAATGAAAAATTTAAATGTTCAGTTGAAAATTACAAAGCAAAGTGCAGCGATGAAAACGGTGTTTGGGCGTATTCGAAAGCACTGATATTAGCAAACAAGAAAAATAAATGTGTGTGTTCGGCAAGGCCATTAAAAGTTATTCATGTTTGCTGGACCCAGAATGTTTTTAAAGCTAAACTCTAAGCGGTTGTTGCCTCGATGTTGAGAAAGAAAATTTTCCACTGTACGAAATGCTTGTTTAGCATTGATTCCACGTCACGTGTTCACGTTTTTGTGAGTTTCACGTGCGTGAAAAAACTCGCTAAAAACGAAAAATTTCAAATCGTAAAAATATGCGACAACATAAATAAAAATAAAATATAAAAAAGGCTTTATTTCAATATATCAAGAAAATGTGATAAAAAAAAGGTATGAAATATGAAGCCGTATAAAATACCAGGGCGGGAAAAAAATTTATTTCGAGCCGTTAAAAATTATATTAAAAAAAATACCAATTTCAATCAAAAAATTCTCAATTTTTTCTCGTCATGCGTTTTTGCATAATATGCAAATGCAAAAACGCATATTTTGACGACCCCGGTGTGTGTGTGTG